TCCCACAGTAAAACACAGGAACTCCCAAACAGCATACGTAGTCAGAATAAGGGTACAAAGATGAACTGAAGGTTTATTGACAGGCATGCTCTTTTTATGGAATTCAGCCCATGCAAGGGAGCCTCCCATATAATTAGCCATACATCCAATCCTAACAATATACATACTGTACATCTCCTCCCCTCAGATAACCATTAAACACAATTAAAACGTAACAGAAATTCCCCAAAGTTTGGATGTACCCCAAGGACTTGGGGTACAGACATAATTTTGGTGTCCCCAGATAGCTGGGGGACCAACATATAAAAAAACTCAGTTCACTCGGTTCAGCCGTTCAGGAGATATGGGACTTAGAAGTTTTGACCGACTGCACGGGCAAAGTAGCCGAAAACAGTTCCATGAATTCTGGCCCTGCAGTCGGTCTTAGGTCGCATGAAAAAACCTCCCGAACGGCCGGCCATCCAGCTACCATCCTTGGTTCGCTTGATTCCCCATCCGTAACTAAGTCTTTCTACCGAACGCCCGGTCGTTCGGTAGTTTGGAAGGGGGTTTACCGAAGGTCTGGAGGCTTCAGCGGTGTTCGCCTGTTTGAGTGTCCGTTTTCAGTTCCAGACACTCAACGGCAAACACCGCTGTTCGGGAGCTAAAATGGCCGCGAACACGTGGAAGTCCCGAAATGGCGGCGAGACATGCCGTTCGTGCAGAACTTCTGTCGAACGTAATCCAGCCAGCAAGGGGGTACAGTCTGTATAATGGGCAACAGGGTGGTCTGGATTCGGTAGTTTTACCTACCGAATCCCATAGGGAACATTACTATTAAACAAACGAATACAAAGAGTCAATTTACAGCATAAGAGGGGCATTTCTTCACAAGTATCCTAAATTAATCTTTACAATACATTTTATTATACACTTGTGTTTGTCTTATTTCGCACACATTCTCTAAAAGAATGTCCTTGTAAGAGGGTCATCATTTCTTACAGTGAGTATTCTCCACTTACTCCACTGAACCTTACTTTAGAATACAAACAGATGATGGTAAGTCTTGGCTTTTTCTGTTCAGATACTGCATGGTAGGTTTACACTTTATGTTCTATAATATGTAGTGGATTGGTTTACGACGTTTGTTATGATTATTTGTGCATTGTTACTCACTGTGTTGCTCTTTTTTTACGTCCAATTCCATTTGGCTAAACCTTTTTTCGATATTTTACAGCTTGAAACGCTTTGGATTTCCTAATTTGGAGTATTTCTGGTTGTATTACTACATGTTGTTATTTCTTGGATTATTTTTGGTTTTTGTTATTTGGTTTAGGAACTTGTGATGTCGCAAGATGAAGAGGAAGTACCAATAGCAAAGTATAGGTTAAGTCAAGTAAAACAAAGTGACCAGTCCTCTGACCTTTCTTGTGATGGAGCAGCAAAGAAAGAGGCAGTGCATCAGTTTCCTATACCTCTGATTACCTATGGCTACTTATGATTGATTCTTGGTTTTTCAATATATTTCTTTGCAGCTATAGATTTTCATCTAGTAGCATGGTCAATTATAGTTATTCCAGTTCTATAAAACAATTTCTGGATCAGACTACATCATTTGAGAACCCTGTACCTCAGATGCCAGAGATGTTTTAGATTTGGGCCTCATCCTCCTAAAGGAATTATGTTTACCAGGGTATATCAGAATGGATTTTCTTTATTGACGTTGTTATTTTGACTCCTTAACATCTATTAGTCAGCTGCTGGTCCAGGCAATATCTGAGTCTAAGGAGGGAAGCACAGCATTAAATCTAGATTTTTTTTTTTACTAGATTGGAGCATATTTCCAAACTGCAGTACGAGAAAAGGAACTAGCTACATGTAGAGCAGAGTTTATTGGAGTTTGTAGCCAGATTATTACTGTAATCAGAACACGCTGGGCACATTGTTAGAAATGAAATTTATTTTCATGTCACATTGTGACTCTACATTTATAGCAGCTACAGCAAGGACACACGGTGACACACACAATTTGATATATTATTACAAGTCCCCATTTAAACCAGGATTACTAACTCTCATTGCACAACTACCCTGGCTTCCGTCACCTGACAGGCAACAGGACAGGGAAGACCATGGTAAGATCTCACCACTGGATATTGGGGAGTCCCAAGTAATATCTCACCACTGGGTGTTTGGATGTTCCTGATAATATTTCACGATTGGGTGTTGGGGAACCCCTAGTAAGATCTCACCGTTGGGTGTTGGGGAACCCCTAGTAAGATCTCACCGTTGGGTGTTGGGGAGCTCCTGATAAGATCTCACCCTTGGGTGTTGGGGAGCCCCTGGTAAGATATCACCATTGAGTATTGTGAATTCCATAATACAATTAGTTATTTGTCAGTTTTCTTCCCCAGAACTCCAAGATGAAGGAATCCTCACAAGGATGCCAACGACATTATTTGCATTGCCACCTTGAGGGAAAATACTATCTCAGAATTTGTCAGCAGAGCCTTGGAAACTGAATAATTGATCACTCTTATGGCACATTTTACATTAACTAAGAATACTGCATGTGCTGACATCTTTAATCTGGTAACTAATATGTTAATTACCAGTCCATTAAACAGCAAATTAGCCAATTTGTGACAAGTTACAGAGAACTATAACCAGGTGATGGTAGGGAAAATAGAATTATAACCAGTAACAGATCTAACAGCCTGCCACAGAGTGTAATAACAGATATGACAGCCTGGCACAGAGTGTAATAACAGATCTAACAGTCTGGCACAGAGTGTAATAACATCTGACAGCCTGGCACAGTGTATTATAACAGATCTGACAGCCTGGCACAGAGTGTAATGACAGATCTGACAGTCTGACACAGTGCATAATAACAGGTCTGACAGTGAGTATTATAGCAGATCTGACAGCCTGGCACAGAGTGTAATAACAGATCTAACAGCCTGGCACAGAGCGTAATAACATCTGACAGCCTGGCACAGAGTATAATAACAGATCTGACAGGCTGGCACAGTGTGTAATAACATATCTGACAAACTGGCACAGAGGATAAAAACAGATCTGACAGCCTGGCAGAGGGTAATAACAGATCTGACAGCCTGGCGCAGTGTATAAGACAGACCTGACAGCCTGGCACAGAGGGTAATAACAGATCTGACAGCCGAGCGCAGTGTATTATAACATATCTGACAGCCTGGCAGAAGGTAATAACAGATCTGACAGCCTGGCGCAGTGTATTATAACATATCTGACAGCCTGGCGCAGTGTATAAGACAGATCTGACAGCCTGGCGCATTGTATGAGACAGATCTGACAGCCTGGCAGAGGGTAATAACAGATCTGACAGCCTGGCGCATTGTATGAGACAGATCTGACAGCTTGGCACAGAGGGTAATAACATATCTGACAGCCTGGCGCAGTGTATTATAACATATCTGACAGCCTGGCAGAGGGTAATAACAGATCTGACAGCCTGGCGCAGTGTATTATAACTTATCTGACAGCCTGGCACAGAGGGTAACAACAGATCGGAAAGCCTGGCGCAGTGTATAAGACAGGTCTGACAGCCTGGCGCAGAGGGTAATAACATATCTGACAGCCTGGCAGAGGGTAATAACAGATCTGACAGCCTGGCGCAGTGTATTATAACATATCTGACAGCCTGGCGCAGTGTATAAGACAGATCTGACAGCCTGGCGCATTGTATGAGACAGATCTGACAGCCTGGCAGAGGGTAATAACAGATCTGACAGCCTGGCGCAGTGTATGAGACAGATCTGACAGCCTGGCACAGAGGGTAATAACATATCTGACAGCCTGGCACAGTGTATTATAACATATCTGACAGCCTGGCAGAGGGTAATAACATATCTGACAGCCCGGCGCAGTGTAAAATAACAGATCTGACAGCCTGGCGCAGAGCATTTTACGGTTTTGATGATCTGGAAAGAATACAATCTAACTATACACCAGTGAGGCCCAAGACAGATTGCAAATGGCTGTTGGAATATGACGGCATATCTGTATGATCTAAACTATTATTCCCTTACTGTTTATTTCTAAAATGAAGGTGAAGATGAGGAGCAAAAAAAGAAATAGAAAATGAGTGGATTGGAAATTCTTGATAGGAATCGGCACATCCCTGATCTAAACCAGACTGGGGCGATAACACTGAATGTAACAAGATATTCTGACACGGACACATTGTGGACATTAATCGGTCACTGCCACCGATGATTACGTGTTCCGAACTCCAAGAGATTGCTCCAGTTCCTGTCTGCGCTGCTGGATCTATGAACAATGGAAGAAATTGAGACAATTTCATTCTTTGTTTATTTATAATGACATCGATAAAGACACAGAGAGCACTGACACCTCACCTTGCAGTAAAAATATCGGCTAACAGCCTCCTGAGACCAGGGCTCCTGGTAGAAGTCAGCTCTTCTCTCCTGCTCTGGATTTCCCACCACATCAGTCATAATCTGGAAACAGAACGTCATTCCAATTAAAGCAGTAAACTAGAGACATGAACTATATGGAAAATGTGATTAAAATAAATTACATCCTATAGTATAATCTGAATTTTGTTTTCAATAAATCTTGTATAATGTACTGAATGGCCTGTATATCTCCCAGTCTCTGTGTAATATACCGACTAGTCTCAGACAGGTCTGTATATCCCGGTTAGTGACCATGTGATGGCAGAACTCTCCCAGTCTCTCTGTAATATACTGACTGGTCTCGGTGCTCGGTATCAGACAGGTCTGTATATCCCTGTTAGTGACCACGTGATGGCAGTACTCTCCCAGTCTCTCTGTAATATACTGACTGGTCTCAGTGCTCGGTATCAGACAGGTCTGTATATCCCTGCTAGTGACCATGTGATGGCAGAACTCTCTCTGTAATATACTGACTGGTCGCAGTGCTCGGTATCAGACAGGTCTGTATATATTTATTAGTGACCATGTGATGTTAGAACTCTCCAAGTCTCTCTGTAATATACTGACTGGTCTCAGTGCTCGGTATCAGACAGGTCTGTATATCCCTGCTAGTGACCATGTGATGGCAGAACTCTCCCAGTCCCTCTGTAATATACTGACTGGTCGCAATGCTCGGTATCAGACAGGTCTGTATATTCCTGTTAGTGACCATGTGATGTCAGAACTCTCCCAGTCCCTCTGTAATATACTGACTGGTCGCAGTGCTCGGTATCAGACAGGTCTGTATATCCTTATTAGTGACCATGTGATGTTAGAACTCTCCCAGTCTCTCTGTAATATACTGACTGGTCTCAGTGCTCGGTATCAGACAGGTCTGTATATCCCTGTTAGTGACCATGTGATGGCAGAACTCTCCCAGTCTCTCTGTAATATACTGACTGGTCGCATGCTCGGTATCAGACAGGTCTGTATATCCCTGTTAGTGACCATGTGATGTCAGAACTCTCCCAGTCCTCTGTAATATACTGACTGGTCTCAGTGCTCGGTATCAGACAAGTCTGTATATCCCATTAGTGACCATGTGATGTAGAACTCTCCCAGTCTCTCTGTAATATACTGACTGGTCTCAGTGCTCGGTATCAGACAGGTCTGTATATCCCTGCTAGTGACCATGTGATGTTAGAACTCTCTCTGTAATATACTGACTGGTCGCAGTGCTCGGTATCAGACAGGTCTGTATATCCTTATTAGTGACCATGTGATGTTAGAACTCTCCAAGTCTCTCTGTAATATACTGACTGGTCTCAGTGCTCGGTATCAGACAGGTCTGTATATCCCTGCTAGTGACCATGTGATGGCAGAACTCTCCCAGTCCCTCTGTAATATACTGACTGGTCGCAATGCTCGGTATCAGACAGGTCTGTATATTCCTGTTAGTGACCATGTGATGTCAGAACTCTCCCAGTCCCTCTGTAATATACTGACTGGTCGCAGTGCTCGGTATCAGACAGGTCTGTATATCCTTATTAGTGACCATGTGATGTCAGAACTCTCCCAGTCTCTCTGTAATATACTGACTGGTCTCAGTGCTCGGTATCAGACAGGTCTGTATATCCCTGCTAGTGACCATGTGATGGCAGAACTCTCCCAGTCCCTCTGTAATATACTGACTGGTCTCAGTGCTCGGTATCAGACAGGTCTGTATATCCCTGCTAGTGACCATGTGATGTTAGAACTCTCTCTGTAATATACTGACTGGTCGCAGTGCTCGGTATCAGACAGGTCTGTATATCCTTATTAGTGACCATGTGATGTTAGAACTCTCCAAGTCTCTCTGTAATATACTGACTGGTCTCAGTGCTCGGTATCAGACAGGTCTGTATATCCCTGCTAGTGACCATGTGATGGCAGAACTCTCCCAGTCCCTCTGTAATATACTGACTGGTCGCAATGCTCGGTATCAGACAGGTCTGTATATCCCGGTTAGTGACCATGTGATGTCAGAACTCTCCCAGTCCCTCTGTAATATACTGACTGGTCGCAGTGCTCGGTATCAGACAGGTCTGTATATCCTTATTAGTGACCATGTGATGGCAGAACTCTCCCAGTCTCTCTGTAATATACTGACTGGTCTCAGTGCTCGGTATCAGACAGGTCTGTATATCCCTGCTAGTGACCATGTGATGGCAGAACTCTCCCAGTCCCTCTGTAATATACTGACTGGTCTCAGTGCTCGGTATTAGACAGACAGACTAGTGATGTAAATATACTGTGGCGAAACCGACCTCGCCACTGGGCATTGGAGAAGACTGATTGCCAGCCTCCTGCCATGTGACTATGGCCCCTGGGATGTATTGCCCTTTAAAGACATGATTTGGGCATAATGGATTTGTGTTGTGCTGCTGCTAGCCCTTTAAGAACCATCTGGGGACATACTGTGGAGTTACTGGGTGGCCACCATTTCATGTATCAGAGGCACATGGTGAGAACAATGGATAAAGCACATGGTGAGAACAATGGATAAAGCACATGGTGAGAACAATGGATGGCGGCCATTTTAACTCACAGACACTGTTTGGACTTTTCAACACGGTGCCATCTCGCCAGTATTTGGTGCACAGAGACATAGTGCAGTGGTTTTGGACTATACAGCAGGGGACACATTATACAGTGATTGTTTTTCATTTAGCCTGTATATGTTCTGCAAAATCTGCATTAAACTGTATTTTCCAAAGTACTGAACGGATCTGGGTGAATTTTGGATATGTGGTTCACCCAGATCCCCCGGTTCCAAGGATATACTTTTTTATGGGGTTATTGCATGTTTTGGGGTCCCTGTGATGTGTTTTATGAAACTGTATTTCTCTGTCTGTGATAATTAGATTACCCATTGTGTAAGGTAATTGTATCACAGGCAGAGGGGAGGATTTTGTGTGGGAGTGTCTATGTGTATTGTACAGATTGATTGGTTATTCTGTAAAACCCTGTGGGCAGTACTAAATTTGTGTATTGGGAATAAAAGAGGCTGTATGTGCCAGTACAGTCAGTTCCTGCTTAACCATCAAAGTGAAGTGTCGTCTCATTATTGGGGGAGGATTTATTGTATGCTGTTCCAGTTTGACTGCTAGGAGTGTAAACCTATTCGCATGGTTTTTCCTATTCAACTGTATACAACATTCAATGCTTGAGAGCATTCATATGCTCCTACGGTTCGGTGGTTTTGGTGTCTGCTGCAGTGCTTGGAGTCCTCAGGAAGTGCTAGGAGCATCCTTCAACGGAGGCACCCAGTCGGGCAGTTACATATACAAACAATCTCACCTTGAGGTCTCTGCTCTGAGATAGCAGCCAGTCCTGTATATATCCTTTGGGGTCCCGGGAAAAGCTTAACATAAAATCTCTCTGGATTTTTAGTTGATTAATAGATTCAATAGTCTCATGTATCTGGAGAGGAAGAGAAACATGTCAGCTATGTTTATTCTTTAAACTCGGAATTGGAGTGACTTAAAATCTACAAACAATTTGCAAGCTGTAACTATAGGTTAGAATTTCTGCTTTGTTTGCTGTGTTTTCAATTTGCGAGAGTTTGAATTTCAGTAAAAAGACCCCCACGCATCTTGTGTACTGAAAAACTGCTCACTGAATACTAGATTTGAGTGAAAAGTTTGACTCTCTGCATAGGCGTGCACAGCCTATTGCATTAGGGTGTGCACCCTAAAGCACAAACACATGCCTCGTGTATATATATATATAGATATACATATACACACATATTTATACACACACACATACATACACTGCTGTATTTCTCATACACTGCTGTGTGTGTGTGTGCTGTTAGTGTGCTGTGAGGGTGCTGTGTGTGTAAGGGTGCTGTGTGTATATGTGTGTGTATGTGTGTGTGTGTAAGGGTGCTGTGTGTGAGGGTGCTGTTTGTCGGCTGTATGTGTGTGGGTGCTGTGTGTGAGGGTGCTGTGTGTGTAGAGGGTGCTGTGTGTGTAAAGGGGGCTGTATGTGTGTGGGTGCTGTATGTGTGTGGGTGCTGTGTGTGAGTGTGCTGTATGTGTGAGGGTGCTGTATGTGTGTGGGTGCTGTGTGTGTGAGGGTGTTGTGTGTGTGGGTGCTGTATGTGTGTGGGTGCTGTGTGTGTGAGGGTGCTGTGTGTGTGAGGGTGCTGTGTGTGTGTGTGTGTGGGTGCTGTGTGTGTGAGAGTGCTGTATGTGTGTGGGTGCTGTATGTGTGTGCTGCGTGTGTGTGTGTGTGCTGTATGTGTGAGGGTGCTGTATGTGTGTGTGTACTGTATGAGTGTGGATGCTGTGTGTGTGGCTGCTGTGTGTGTTTGTGTGTGTGTGCTGTATGTGTGAGGGTGC